CAAACAAACAAACAAACAAACAAATCTTTCTCTCAAACCAGATTTCTATTCTTTTTTTCTTTTTTTTGTACGGGGAGGGGGAACACAGTTCGGCCAAACCCCTAAACTCCGCATCTTCGTGACGAACACTACTGATAGGCGAGATTTTGTACAGTAAATTGTGGTCTTTTGAAGTTAAAAAAATATATCCTTATATCAAAGTACATCTTTTTGCTCTAACTTGAGTACTGGAAACCATGGCACCCTTCTATTGTCCACCCAATTCCCAGAGTTCGGTCTCATTGACTCACAGACTGGGTGTTAATAATAATAAAGCATTCTGATAAAATAAAACATAGTAAAACTTTTTTGGTTGTTGGAAAGTTAATAACAGTACTGCGTGATTTATTACGTTATACATTAAGTCTAAATTCTATTAACGTTTTTTTACTGAAAACGTGTAACGTGTCTTTATTTAGGAATTACCGAATAAAAATGTTTAAAAAACAATAGTTAATTTTGTGTTAAATCAAATCACATACATTCTACAGCTTGTACAGCAGAAAGATTTTTTCGAATTGATCGAGCCCAGGAACACTTATATTACGTAGTAGACATATGTGCTGATGAATTGTTTATTCTGGACCCTGATGATACAACCCCTGTTGAAACAAATGATCAAGACAGTACAGATTTTTTTGAAAGCGATGTCTCAACAGTTGCATTTAATGGAAGCGAACAAAGCGGAACGACCAGTCCCATTAGCCGAGATGAAACCCCCCTTCAGATTTCTTCGGAAGGATCAGAGAGGTAAATACTTTTTTAACTTAATGGACTGTTGTGCGTTATACTGATAAAAGAACTTTTAAGAATGTACTTTAAAATGATAGTCGAGTAATGTTTTTCTTAACGTTTATTCTGGTTACTGTTTGCGTCATACGAAACAACGTTGTAGGTCTTTAGTACCAGGATGTTCAAAAAATAACGTACTGAAACGACCGTGGACGATCAAAGTGCTCTTAAGTAAAATTCAGTTGTTGTATTTAATTTCCAAGAAATCACTGTTATGCTTATGTTTCGTAGGTATCTTCTCAGCAGTTATTTAAACAAAGCGTAAAAATATTATATAATTTTCATTACTAAATTATAACGTGTAAAATGCTTAAAGATTAATCTACTTACTGTGTTCATTTCTTTTACAGTATGAATATTGGTTGCTTAACAGATATTGAGTAAGTATTTAATGCTTTGCTAAATTTTCATGTACTTTATATGATCTTTTTTGTGTGCAAAGTTAAAAGTCTAAACTAGTATTTTTGATGACTTATTTTTTAACATTTGTGTGTGCATGTTATAAATATATATACATATATATATTTATTCATTTATTTATATTAATATTCTATATTATGTATATGTAGTTTATTTTTTCTCCTCCACAATTGGCTTATTATAAGTAAAATGTTTGAATTTTCGCCTAAGTTTCATCAGAAAACATTAGTGTATTTCATTTAGTAAAAAAAAAAGTATAATAGAAACAGAATTGATAAATTTAATACATTATTAAACTTCAAGTTCTAGCAGAAGTAGACGAATTAACTTCTAGGGACTTACTTTCTTATATAATCTTAGCTCATCAAAACATTCAGCGAATAGAATATGAGCTTTTAATTCTTTTATTTTGGGAATCTCCTTCTGTGTTGCATATTACGAAACCGACAAAGCATAATGTTACACGTCTACGACTAAAATAATATATTATCCTGTATTTATAATATTAACTTAAATATCGCATTCAATTTATGAAATATGTGAGATAAGGAATTATTTTTACCAAAGGTGTATGAATTAAGCACTAAGAATAATGTCTTTAATTCTGAGATATTAATATATTTATTTTTCAGGAATGTTTCAGAGAAATCTTCGGAAGGTAAGTACAGCACTTAACAGTAGAATGAAGTATTCTTTGCAAACTATTCCGTGCGGTAAAATGTATGTTATTTGACATTAAATATCTAAACTTGTAATGCATATACAATATTGATATTCATATGTATATGAATGGTTACAAGTCTGTTTGGAAAACTGAAAATTTAAGAATGAGAATGAGTTTATCAAAATCACTTGTTAAAAAGCATTTAATTACTCTTTTATATATATACTAGGAATTATTTTGCAGACTGCGCTTAACCAATAATATTTAAAACCTAATAAATGCTATGAATAAACAGGCGTCGAAGTTAATTTATTTATAAAAGAAAACGTTTTGTTGCTTAGAGTTAGTCTGTATAGACTTTTATTCACTATGTGGGTGTTGTTCGGGTTTATATGCTTCATCTATAGATGCGAAATTAGTAAAGAATAAAATTTATTTAAAATTTTGTAGACTTTTTCATAGTATTTTCCACGGAATTAAGCTATAGCTTGTTTCTTTATTTGTGTGTGTAAAAAAAGATAGAGAAAAAAAAGAAGATTACATCATAAGGAATAATAGCGTGAATTTAACACAGCATATCCAAACCTTAGAAGAAAAATATTTTTTTGTAATAGTATATTGAAAATGAACGAGAAAAAAAAGAAAATAGAAACAACGACGCAGCTATAAAACAGACATGTACCATCTGGGCACACACCATATGGTGGGTAGTTATGCAATGTGCCCTGGATTTTGAGGTACTGGCGGAAGTAAGACCCAAATTACGTTGGGGGTACACCGTCTATCCAGTTTAACCTCAGTTTCTCAGATCTTCACATTCTTAATAATAATGATAATAAAAAAGAGCAGATGTGGGTGCTCTAGCTGTAACATGGATAAAGTTTAGTGTTAGAAAGAGCAGGATTCCAAAGAAATATACATCGACGACTATGATTCAAAATAATAGCTACTGTTTGTCAGTTCTCTAAGTAAGATAGGCTATTTTTGCATTGTTACATTACAATTTTTTTAGGACTAACCTAAATCTCCTAAGCTGGCCAAACCTTTTGAGATATTATTGGGTTTATGGCCGAAAATGTTGTTAACAGCGAGGATACCCAAATGATGAAACAATGCATTTTGATCTTTATAAGTAGTTACGTAGAAATATATATTTAAGTAGGTATGCTGATGGACAGGATGATTTTTAGTTTCCCTCAAAATACATAGCTTACTCTGATCGGAAGTTATTTTTATTGTGTACATTATTTTTTTACTAGTTACTAACATGCACTATACGAATTATCAATACAAAATTGATACATTTCTAAATTTACTGTCTTTCAGGTGTGATAAGTGCATCAAAGACGGGTGACTTGTTACTGGTAAGGAACATTTCATTTACACTTTATATCTACTACAATGCTAGTAGAGACTGTCTTAGTATACAGAAACTTAATATTTTGAAAAGTTGTATCGCTCTAAATAATAACTTGTATTTACATATTGATATTTTTACATACATCTGTTAATTAGACTAAATTACAGCAGGTACAAAATTTGTCCTCATTACTTACGGGGCCCGGCATGGCCAGGTGGTTAGGGTGCTCGACTCGCAATCTGTGGGTCGCGGGTTCGAATCCCGTCACAC